AGCCAGGGAAATGGCCTTGAAGCAGATCTTCAGAAACTGATGACAGGGCCATTCCTTTAATCTTGGGAATGGAGACTGCATTAAGAGGAGACTCAGGTTAGGTCCTCCCTGTCTTCCGGGTATAAGAGAGGAGGGGGGATAAGAAACAGAATGAGACTTGCAGGCATTTGTATTAGAACCCACCTAAATGAAGTAGAATTCTGGTTCTCCTATAGAATTTGCTTTCCGATTTGGTCTTTCTCCAAGGGCTGATATAGTGAAGGAAAATAACAGCAGGGACTGTCTTGTTTTGAAGCTGTTCATTTATTTATTTTTTAAAGTTGGTTCTTGCTGTGAATTCAGAGGGGAACGTGTTCTGACCCCCCTTCCCCGTCCAGGAACGAAAGCCGAAACCAACGTAAATGAGAATGTTTCTTTTAATCAGTCCAGGCTCTCGTTGGCTGCAAGCCACAATAACAAAGAGATAAGCACTCTGGCAGCAAGTACTACAAAACTTGGCCGCAATGCAAACAAACTCTGGCAGCAATCCAGCCTGCCAAGTTTGTTTCTTGTTAGTCCTTAACGTTGACTTCTCTTAACCGTGAACGTTGACTTCTGCAGAAAGGCGTGGCACAAGCAGTCCCTTTTATAATCAGGAAAGGATCTTAATGAGCATCAGCTGAGCGTAATCATCTCCTATAATTACGCAGTTGTTCTTGACGCCAAGTAGCCCTTTGACGGCGTGCATCCCAGAACAACTCACAGGTGTTTTCTGGATCACTCATTCTTGTCTCCTCCCCACTGATCCAAGGCTCAGGCATCACCTGGTGATCAACTAGTCTCTCTGCGCCCTGCTCGGAGTCAGAACCCTGTCGAGGGTCCTCCGCATCCTTCAGGGCCGACTCATAAGACCCCTCGCTGTCGGAGCCTGGCGGCAACTCCAACAACTCCTGCTGGGCCACAACAGGAAACTATATATCTATATCATCTACTACACCTATTCATCTTGCACCAGAAAAGGAGTGATCATTTGTGCTTGCCTCTCTGCTGACAAAAACATGCAAACCAAACTAAGCTTATTACTTGCATTATTATAATTGCTGTTTTGATATGAGAATAAATATTTCCTTACAAAGGGTACCATATAGAGGAAATATCAATCAATTTTGCTGATGGTTTAAAGGACGTTCTGTTAGTGATAGACTTATACAGGTCCTAAGAGATAAGATGTAAGTGAATATTTAACTGAATGGAATTGTCAATGACACTGATTTAACTAAAATTATGTGTCCTCCTGGTACAGATACATGTGCTTTTTCACTTGGTCAGCAGAGTTGAAATTTATTGGGGAGACCCTCCAGCTTAATTAAGTCAGTATTAATTCTGAGGAACAGAATTATAATTCAACGAATTCACATCACTTCAAAATAATCTTTACAAGGAAAGCATATGCCAATGAGTATAATTTGCAATGTTCATGTTTGCCACGCTAGTGGCAGTCTCTCAGATAAAATGGTCAGTGAATACATAAAATGTCTTTTCTCTCCTGTAGTATAGCCTGATTCTCATCGGAATATGCATTATGGTCTAACTCTTTTCAGTACTTCGTTATCCACGTAGTAGAAATGCAAATTAAAAAAAAAAAGAACAAATTCAGGGGCTTTGTTCCGCTATCATATTTTTGTTCTAGTACGTTTAACCTACGCACAAATTACAAAATTACAAAGAAAGTTTTCTTTATTTATATTCATAAATACAGTTTTTTATGCACATAGACTATTGTACAATTTAGAGCTCTCCAGACAACAGGTGCAATCATTGCATAAACCACTTCAGGATAATGTAAGCATGCTGATCTATTCTAATCTTGACTGATTCGGAGATCAACGATATGCATTGATCCAACTAATAATCCTGGATGATTCTAGATTGGTAATTAGATCTACAGAACTAGTTAGCATAACTATAGCTTCACTAACATGTGTTCATACTTCATTTTTACAAGATCAGATCATTTCCTTATGTCACGCATCCAGGTACATAAATATTGTAAAATATTTACCTATATAGCTACTGAAGACCCCCTGAATGCTCCTCTTCTTGCTTCTGAAACTTATACCACAAGGCTTGGTTCCCCCTCCCTCTTATATAATATCTACATGTTCTGACCCCCCCTCCTCAATCCAACTCTCGTTGGCTGCAAGCCACATAAACAAAGAAATAAGCACTCCGTAAGCAAGTCCTACAAAAATTGGCAGCAATGCAAACAAACTCTGGCAGCAATCCAGCCTGCCAAGTTTCTTTCTCGTTAACCGTGAACATTGACTTCTGCCAAAAGGGCGTGGCACAAGCAGTCTCTTTTATAAGCAGGAGAAGATCTTAATAAGCATCAGCTAAGCGTAATCATCTCCTACAATTACGCAGTTGTTCTTGCCGCCGAATAGTCCTTCGACGGCGTGCATCCCGAAACAACTCACAAGTGTTTTCCAGAGCACTCCTTCTGATCCAAGGCTCCGCCGCCACCTGGTGGCCAACCAGTCTCTCCTCGCCCTGCTCGGAGTCGGCATCCTGTCCAGGGTCCTCCA